TCATCAAGATCTGTTCAGCCGTTCTGCAGATACATTCAAACAAACATCCACCTAAACATTCGCATTTATAACATTAGTAAGATTACAAAAATATGACGAGAGATGGCGCTAATACCTACAGTTGATACGTAGGTTTCCGAGACCAAAGTCTCCAGTTAAAACATATTGCTATCTCGTTTTAGTTCAAAGATGAAAGGGATGACGATTTACATCAGTTTAAGATATTACGTAGTAATATGTTGTACAAAGTTGTCCGTGTAACAGAAGCGAACAATATTATATCGGTAGAGGAAATCGAAAAAGTTAAATCTGGCAAATTTCAAACAGTCCGATTCAATTTGCTTTCCTTATTGGACAAGAGTTCTTGTTTGTAAAGAGATCCCGCTCCGCGCCAGAACGGAGCTTTGTTTGCTTTGTATTGAAACAATTTGGCATTTCCATCTTGTAATGCATTTAGAGGCGTGTTCTCAATACTTTTATTTTGTTCTAAAAATATTGAAAGAAAGAAAATTTTCTAATCATTTTGTATCATTTAAATGTAAAGTTATTGTTTTGTTGAGAATTGTATAATAAATAATTCTAGAATAGATAAATATTAGTATAGTAGTAGAGGAGATGAACAGAAAGAGAACATTTTCTCTTCCTATACGTCTCTTCCTCCACCCAATCTACTTTCCCATCCTTTCTTTGTAATACAATGTTGGTATGGGAAAAAAATTAAGCCTTGATTATTTTGATAGCTGAAAGAGTTAAATTTAATCTAAATAAAACCAAAATCTTTGTAAAAACACATCGTTATCCTCGTCATTATCTTTGACAAAACAGATATAACAATATGTTTTAGACGGACAAACATACTGACACATGATTCGAAGTTTTATTACATTAAGTCTGAAAGGCGTGAGATATATATTTTTAGTTATGTTCAGGATAAAACGTATCATAGTATAATTTCTTTGCGAAGAATCAAAATAGCGAAACAAGATGATATCCCTTTTATTGTAAGATTTTAGTTTTCCTCAATAACATCTAAAAAGAAATCGGGAAAACGCATTACACGATCCACAAAGGAGATAAAAATCGATGTTATTATTCAGCTAATGATATTTTAAGTATCCCAATGGTTATTGTGAAAAAACTATAATAGATAGATATATGCCATTCCGGACTTTTATTTAGCAAATTTAAAGAGCTACAATTCGTTGATACATCATTTTTATATAAGTCCTATAGTTTAGCCTACGTAAGTGAAGAAAGCAAAAAAGTCCTAAATTTTCCTGACGCATTTTTAACTTAAACTCAAAATCTACTAAACTTCTAGTCAGTTTAAAAATTAATCAAAAAATGATACCCACGTTAAAGCAAACCCTTTCGATCAATAAAAAATTTTCAAAATCGCTCCACCAGGGGCGGAGTTACGCGGTAACACACATAAAAAAAAACATACAAACGAATTGATAACTTCCTTCTTTTTGAAGTCGGCTAAAAAGGACGAGGAACATTTTACTGTCATTAGCCTTTGTCTTTTCTTGAATTAAAAAAAAACTTAATAGCTTGTGTGTTCTTCCAGATTTTTCTATATCAATGCCAAATTACTTCGAGGTATATGTAGCCGTTCTGGAGATACTTTCTAACAAACATACATCTAAACATTCGCATGTATATTAGTTAGATATGAATTTAATCTTACGGTCCGTTTCCACTGCCGAAAAAACAAATATCGTTGAAGTTATCCTCCTCTTTTCTAGAAACTGAGAGATAATAAAAACCTTTTTGTTCATGGTTTACTTTGTTTATGGTTAGTTTTTCACAACACAGACTTCTAAAAATAAGCTTAACCGTGTTTTCAAAGGAATGCATGAATAATATACTAATAACATATGTTTGAATATTTCCGTGGGACTCGCGAAATGTTAAGGTTTTTATATTTTACCAGATGCTATCACGCCTAACCTCACTTGAATATTCAATGAACATGTGCTGCCCGAGGGCTTGGTATGTTGATTTATTTTAAACTAGCTGGCGCCCGAGAGTTCGTCTGTGCGGAATTAACAAAAACATTAATTTTTCGCCTGAGTTCTATCAGATAATGGTATATAAAATAAAATAAAGTAAAATAAATATTCTCATTTAGACACTGATTTTGGTCTCAGGAATCCACAGTTTGCAACTTGTTTTAATATTTAGGCATGATTGTAGATTTTACTCCAATGAGACAGTTTTTAATTCAGAAAATAAATTAATCGTTTCAAGCGATTTCATAATTAGCATTACAAAATCTCCCTTCATATTTGTCAGAGTTGATCCCGGCGTTGTGTGACGGACGGGCATTCATTATGGGACCTTCTTGCCACTATCGCGGTTAACTCTTGTCGTATTTGCCCTTTGACAAATTATAGTATCTTTGTCGTGAGAATTAACCATTTATGGGCAGAATGATGTAATAAATTAGAACTGGAACATATGTACGATGTAAATAAAGGGTTTATCTCCCCGCAAACCCTCGTGACACTGAGAAATGGAGATATATGATGTTGTGTGATGTTCACTTAAATTTATTTAAGGTTAATCGACCTAGCTTTTTGGAAAGGTAAGTTAATTTTTTTGTTATTTAATCGTCATTTCTTTTTGCTTATTCCACTCAGGTAGGGTTGTCGCGCCGGGTTTTTATTCTCTACATCAATCTATCTTCCATCATTTCAGTCGTCTCTTGTTTCGCACTTTATGTCGTGGGTGTATCCCGTTGGGACTAGTCTATAGAACAAAAATAATTTTGGATTTTAGATAATAGAAAGGGAAATTGTCTTACATATTAAGACGTTATTAAATAACTAGGTATATTTATTTTATTAACTCAAAGAAAACTAATTTAACGAGTAAAACAATATTTCCTTTTTTCATTTATACTCATTTCTTATTTGAAATAATGAGAACGAATTTATAACACAAATATATTTTATGGCTGACAACAAAATAACAAATTTATCGCAACAAGAAATCTCGAAAGGAGCTGACATTCACTTTGTTTTTCGTTATCTGACAACCCTAATATTTTACTACGACGAGGAATATTAAACACCACGACACGGTAACGAGACGCGGTTAATGATTACAACATAATTTGTTATTTTCTTTTAACATTTTAAATTAGTTCGTGTGTAGCTTAATAATATAAGACTTTATGATTTAGTTTTAATTTGTTGCTGAACAGAAATTTTTCGTTACATGTTAGTAGTTTTGTTAGTGAAGGCAAAAAGACAATATTTAAAGCAGAAAATTATTGCGTTGCCTTGAATATGTAGGTCTGAAGATTAATAATTCCTTAACCTAAGTAAACATATATTATAAGTAGTTTTTTCCAAATGAAATCGCGTGAGCTGTAAAGCGCTTTAACGTCAGTCATATTAACCGGGGCTTTTATTCAAATTCAACGTTCGGTTCGACGCTCATCGCTGAATGGCGCGCTTTATTATTCAATTCGTGAATAAATCTTACTTTCCTTAATGCGTCATCGAATCGTTCTCTTAAATTACCTCCAATGAATTCCAATCAATAAAACCAATTGTATATTTTGACACAAATTCTGAAATATGAATGCTCCAACTCGTTCGGAAAATACTAGATAGCGGTATTAGTCAAGCGTTAGCTAAATACGAAAGATTAACCGTTGGTTTCTGAGACCGAATTCTCTGTATGAAACATAAAGTGACCCCTACTTATTATGTTTCATAGAACAGTGATGTTAATCATGTTTTATACGGGGATTTACGTCTCAGAAACCCACGATAAAACGCAGCTGGGTAATGTTAGGTTTTGTTTAGATTGTTCAACTTTTGCCACTTAAATTAGTTATTTTTCGTACCATTTTAAGTAACATGCATACACGATATTATGTGTTCAATATAGACTTATTTTTTTTTATTATTTTAAAAATATACAGTTATTATTATTTATATAGGAGAGACGGGAGCCAAATCTATGTTTTTAGTACTGGAAATAGAGAAGATAATGCCGTAAGCGTGTATAAAAATCAAGTGAGCGAAGTTCAAAGCGAAAATGGAATACAATATTACGGCATAATAAATATGAACAAAGACAAGCTTCCTCTCGATCTCGATAGTTGAACGGAACGTGAGATAATGGATTTTTCCATCTACAAAGAAACAAGTAGGTCGTAGCGGGGTCTATTCATCTCATATGTGGGCCTGGAGTCAATGCCTGCGCTTCGACAAAACGTTTCTTTATTTCATTAGAACGCATTCAGCGAAACGCCTATTGTGTGTAAAGTGCACTGCCATCCTCTCCATTCTAAACAATTGCACACTCATTCAAAAGAAATCACTTTTCAGCAATAATACAAATATTCACTGAAAGTCTTCTATTTCTATGAAATTAGAGTAACTAAGTCCAAGTACCATTTCGATTCGGACGTAGTTTTATCTTAGATTTCACATTCACGATGACAATCGTTTTTGAGCTTTTGTTGGAACTTTATTCTACTTTTCTGCGTCAGCGATTTTTAATAAAATGTGATAGAGCAAAAAAATAATTGTGTCATACTCTCAAAATAGCCACATATGTATCTGACAATGTAGCATGCAAGCAAGAGTACGGGACAAGCGAAAAAGAGGCACCATCGGCCCAAGCATTATTACGTAAAATAATCAATATATTAGTCGTAAAAATTCTAGCCTAAATAGAAATAATTGAAAACAAGTCATACTAAAATCAAAACAATCAAAATACTTACTTTCTTAGCAGTAATGCAAGCCTTTGCCAAAATATTCAAACAAAAACAAGTAATAATAGCAGTGTTTTTTGCTTTGTTTTTATTTTTCAGTAACTGAATCTAAAAGGTTTTTTATATTTAATTTTTAAACGTTTGAGCTCATAACATGACTACATGTATTGTATTTTCGTGCAAAACGGAATACTTGAAACGTCATGGTGGCGTTTTTCAAGACGCAAAACGTCATGTCATTGTCATTCATGTAAACGAAAGTGAAAAGCTATTAATATAATCCAATATTTATTTCATAAATTTCTTATAGTTGCATACATTTTTTTTGCATTTATTCGTCTTGTGTTAGTGTATAATTCTTTCAGCTGTGAATTTTATAGCAGAAATATAAAGTGAGATTCTTGAAATCGACAAAGGGATTTTATCTTTTATCTTTCTATTTTTGTGTTGTATGTTAGTAATCTAAAATGGATTGCGTGACAACATTAAAACTTTTAGTAATTGGAGAAAGTGGAGTTGGTAAATCAAGGTAATAAAAAGTATTTATTATTCAATTCTTTGTTAACAATTGCGCACTATTTGATGTGTGTCAAGGGCATAAAATTAGAGTATTTGTTTCGATATAATATTGAATAGACTGTTAATTGACTGTTTAAATAACAAGTCTCATAGTTTATAAGTAATCCTTACAAGTAAATGCTATTTTAACCTATGTAGTTTTTATATGATCAATCTTTATGAAGGTTTAATCATAGGATGAAGAAAAGTACCGTAGTTAATTCTGTTCCTTGAAAACCCTTATATATAATTAAATGAAGAAATATATGTTTATTAACTACATGAAAATGAAATACAATAATTGTTTTAGTATCATCTTAGCATTCACAACGGGAGATTATAATGCCTCATTTCCTGCAACAATAGGAGTGGACTACAAGTGTAAAGTAATGGATGTCAACGGACTCAAAGTTAAATTGGGCATTTGGGATACAGCGGGACAAGAGAGATACAGGACTTTGACTAATAGTTTCTACAGGTATTCAAAAGTTTGTTATGCTGAGAGATGTATATAACTTGTTTATTTTTAGATATATTTTTTTTATAAAACAGATTAACAATATATATTATTTTAAATGGGTTACAACAATAGTCAAATGGTTCAAATCAACAATCATGTGATCGGAAACCCATACCCTTAACCTAACTATTGAAATTATGAAATTGTTAGATTATTAAATTTAGTTTTGTTTATGTGCTCAATAATAATTGATTATATCATGAATATTTTTTCTTGTAATTTTGTAAAGATGAAAATAAGAAGTAACCAAATAGAACACTTTAAATATTTATTTTTAGTTGAAAGTTACTTAGTAATTTTCAACTATTGTAACTTCTTGTATAAGATTTAGTAATAATGATGATGAATTATTAATGTTAAATTTATATAGTAATCTATATATAACGTTTTTAATGTCTTTTTACAATGAAACGGTTTAAGGCATTAGTCACTTCATTATTTTAGCAAAATCCGATGTCCAATTGCTTGTTTAGTACCTTATACTATAAAAAATTAAAGAGATGAATGTTGTTATGCAGGTGTGACAAAAAACAAATGTTTGCCATTGAATAGTATAAATATTTTATTCTATTAGAAACCTTTTTTTAGAGATGCACACGGTGCAATATTGGTGTATGATGTCTCGGAACCCAAAACATTGGCCAAGCTAAATGAGTGGGTTGAAGAGTTACAAGTGTACTCAACAAAGAAAAATATTGTCTGTCTTGTGGTTGGCAATAAAATTGATAAGGTAATTGTTCAGTTTTCATTTAATATTTACACCGTCTAGCTTTTAGAATTAAAGATGGTGATAGACAAACTTATATCGACTGGTCAGTATCAGTGAAACTAAGTCACAATAGCTCATTGTGTCCCCTGACAATGTCAGAAAAGTATCACAAGATCCTTGTCATACTGTAGCTGTCTTGTCATTTTGTTTTTTTATGTCATTTTCTATACATATGTAAGTTTGACATAGTTTCTGAACGAACTAACTGCAATACTGGAACCTCTCTCAATTGCCCAGATATGCTTGACACACTGAATACTTTTAATCCCAACTAAGATGCTTGCAAATCGTTAATTTTACCAAGGTTTGAAAAAAATATTGATAAATGAAAATACATAACTATTATTACATATATTATATTTAAAATATGTTAACATGTTATATGTTAAGTATACGTATAGTAACTCTATAACATACTATTAATAAATCTGATACCATGAGATGATCCAATGTACAGTCACGTTCGTTTGTGGTCTAGCAGTTACAGAATAAATGCCTCGTAACACTTAAAGATTTTTTTTAATGTTCGATGTTATTTGCATAGCAAAATACGTGACTACCAGTGTGTGATTAGGAACGATGTTATAGAACTTGAAAATAACTCATTTTTATGAAAAATTAAGATTACTTTAACTCTATAACAAATAAAAAATATGTAGTTTAAGCAAATTGGCGGGAAATTTATAATATTATAATATAATTAATAAAACTTTTTAATGTTGGTATAGCCCCGTGCAGTTCCGAGAGAGGCCGGCCAGGCGTTCGCAATGAAACACAGAATGCTGTTCATAGAAAGCAGCGCTAAAACTCAGGAAGGCATAAACTTGGCTTTTGAAGAGCTCGTACAAAAGGTAAGTTTGATCCTCACTTTCCATAACCTTTTAATTAAGTGCTGTGAAAGTTTTCGCTTTGAATTGCACCAAGTTTTGTACTTGTAAAGCTTTAAGATATATAAATGCGTTGAAAAGTTTTGAAAAATGATAAAAGCTTCGATATTGTTCTACGATAAACTTTGACATTTTATTGGTATTGCTTTTAGCTGGCTTTTATCCTATATTGAAAGTTTTTTCATAGTTCATATATGCCAGCATTTCCCACATATTGGATACAGTGAAAAAATCGATAGTGGTTTTTTGTTTCATTAGATTTAACAAATTTATTACTAAAATTTAGGCGAAGTTATTCCCGATAAAGATTGGATTGTACCTTTGCTAGGATTGGACGATTTCCTTACGTTTTGACTTGCAATAAGTGCCTTGTCCGAACTCAGGGCCGTCTTATCCATATTAGGCGCCCGGGTGCGAAAACCAGTGCGCCCATTGGCTGGCGACCTACAGGGCCTCACGCTGGCGCCCCGTACCGCTTGTGCCTTCAAGTTAAGACGGCCCAGTCTAATCTAATTTTTCTTGTAATCTCTACATAGATGCGGCGTCTTCGCAACCTTATCACAATTCGAACGACTCTTTTATATGGAACGTTTTTTACCCACTGCTATTTGACCAGTCTTATATTGTTGTTTTAACTACGACATTAATAAATGCTCCGTATTTTAGATAATCGAAACCCCAGGTCTTTGGGAGTCGAAGGGATCATCGTCAAATATTCGCGTATCTAACGAAGATGGACGACAGCAAGATGAAAGTTCGTGTTATGACTACACTTGTACTATATAGTTGTATATTTGTTTAAATTTTTTAACCATTGGCTGTATATTTAAGAATCTTTATCAATAATGAAAATACCAGTAAAAATGTTGTTTTCTTCTTGACTTCGATAATTTTAAGGTTATGGTACATAATGTGAGATGCAGTTTTTATATTTTGACCATTTTATGGCCCTATTAACCTCTCACAAGAGGCAAAAAAGTTTTGATTATTTTTGTGAGTTTCTAGAGCCAAAACATATGTATATTTGTGTTTTTGTTCAAAGTGAATGGTGGGTTAGCAAAATATGTTTTTGATATACCTGTTTAGACAGAGGAAATCTAATGCAATACTAATCAGTTATAAATATTAATTTATAGTAAACTATAGTAACATATATTTAAAGCAATATTTTAAAAATATATTATAGGAAACTAATTCAACTTAAAAAAATTATTCATTCTATTTTTCCATTAGATTTTTTTATATATTTTCAAATGTGGATCTATATTTCAAAAAATAACTCGAAAACAACAAAAAGTACATTCTTTATTTACATAGTAGTTTACATAAACATATATAAAGTAAAATAGCTATGCAATACTAATCACACAAAAAACAAGCTTTTTAAAATCGATACATAAATAATTTTTACAGTAAATAACGGGTTTCTATTTCAAATTTTGCCAATTAATTTAATATTCTAATTATTGATATCTATTTCATTAAAATAATTGTTGAATGCAGAAATTAAACATCATTAACGAAATATAATTTGAGCCTTACTGCCTATGAAATAAGGTTTCTTTTATTTCAAATCTCACTTCACAAAAATAACTTATTGCATTATTATTCGACATATCATAGCTGAATTTGTAAATTAGCTCGTTATTTGATTTTGTTACACTTTGTAGCAATAATATTTTGTTTCTTTACTTAGGAAAGGATTGTAACGTGTAAATGAACGTTAAATTTAGTTAAAAACATATATTAATATAATGCAAGCTTAACTTTGAAAGCGCTTTATTAACTCAATACAGTAAAGTTATCTATTATTTAACCGCTAGTTAAGCGTTGTTAACTTTACCTAGTATTGGGTAACTGAGCTTGCAATCGAAATCAAATTGTACTTTTAGTATGGAAAATATTGAAGAGAAGTAACGTTTCACGTTTTATTATCTTACGTTGATACAACTAAATTAATATTAAGTTTTTTTTAAATTATAGAATGCCTTTGATACTTTGTACCAATGTTTGTAATGCTGTGATGTGTCTAAATGTATATTAATAATGAAAATTAATAGGAAAATAAAAGCTTGTAAAATAAAATTGTTTAAATCATTTTATCCAAATTATTCAGTAATGTGGTTTCACTTATGTCGTCACTGACTACCATAAACATTGAAAAAAAAAACAAGAAATTATATAGTTCAATTCAACTTTGTTAGGCTGTAATCACTGGCTTACCGATGGTTTCTGAAACTATCACTGTATAAACCTTATCGTCATTCCTATCGTTTTCCTTGACAAAACAGTATGTTTAAATAAGGATCTCCGTCTCAGAAACCCGCGATAAAACACTAAAACTTTCGAAAATAGACATAGACAAGAACTGACATTATCTGCAATTGGAATGTGTAAATATAATTTCTCATGTCCATTGAATTCGACCACATCGAAACGCATTAATCGTTACCTAAATGTACCACTACAATCTACGTTGACTGTACTTTGAATCGACTACCATAGAATTATGACCTTTATTTAGTGTCTACCAAGGTTGAATTTACCTAAGCTCGGAGTCAATCACCAATACTTTTCACTGAGTACAGTTCACCTCGCAATACATCAATAGAATTTCTTACGTACTTACGGAGTCATCGGTCCAAACAAAAGTTTTACAATTTTTGTCCTCATGCACTTTAGACATAAGAATAAAATCCAATATTCAAAATGTTATATAAACACTCCCTTACTATAGGTATATGACGTCATTAAGTCGGATCCAATCATAGTAAATGATCTGTAATAACCATAAATTGCTATTCCTAAATGAAAGGCGCTGAGTTAATATGGTTACTAATGAAACTTTTGAATATGGATATGAGATATTAAACGATTATTTTGTTATGTAAATTTATATTGCTTTATTAGAAAATATTAATTTCAATAATAAATTATTCTAACTTTCGTGAGACATTATACTAAACTGATATATAAACACGGCTAAACACTCATGTATATTCGTCCGGTGGCAGCACCGACTAGTTTCGAGCCCATCGGGGGCCCTTCATCAGGATGAGTGGTGCTGGTATTATTTCGCTTTTGTTTAGTCGTGTTTATATATCAGTTTAATTTCAATATTATTCATAATATAAGTAGCGAGAGATATACCTATAACCGAAATAACGTTTAATTTTCTACTAATCTGAATAAATTTTAACTATCTCGTAAATTGGAACGGTAATCAATTATTTCTAACATAATAGTCTTCACTTATGACGGCTAATAGAGATGTATGGAGGAGTAGTACATACTGTGCCGACCCTCGACAGGGATAAGGGTAGGTTGATGATAATAGTCTCTACTACATCAAGTAATCTATCTGAAAAACTGCTTAAGAATTGTAAAAAAACTAAACGAATTTCTTTGATTGCCCGTATCACTTGTAATAGTGCAAACAATAAAGATTTATCATTCAGTCCCTAAAAGTACATTCAGCTTAAGAATAAGCAAGAGTGGTGGCCGTATATTTGTCAACGCTTACCGCAAGCCCTTGACTGATGGCCGGGCTGCTAATGAGGGCCACTAGAGCCTCTAGAGGTCAACCCTTCTTAGCCTTCACTTGTACACAAGCATGTCATTTTTTACCTCCTACAAAGTCTATAAAAAGCGACGAATTTTTAAACCATATTCTATAATACAATATTAAAGAAATGAATATCGTGTTGTATCGATGATTATTTAGATATCAATCTTACTATTATTATAAATGCGACTGTTTAGATGGATGAACGACACAGATGTAAAACATAGTCTGGAAAAACACATAGGCTACTCACTAAGTTTTTATTTAATTAGCGCGGACGGAATCGCGGGCGACAGCTTGTTGATTATAAATTTTAAGCAACTTCAATTTGTTATTTCTAAAGTTGGAAACGAAAGAAAGCTCTGATACGTCAACTATATTTAATATTTAACACAATAGTTAGTAAATACTATTATTATGAGACTAAAACATAGATCCTAAGTAAGGTTTTATGCAAGAACAATGAACTAGAAGACAAAATTATGTAAATAACATTATTCATTAATTATTTAGCTTCATCCTCTGTTATTCGAGATTAGTGTTCAAACAGCGGTAAACTCAAGACGACAAATGTCGACTCCGCACGACACTCAGCATACGTCCCCGTTGGATTTACGTAACCGTGGACAACTGTGAGTGTACTTGCTTACGAAGCGTGAAATAAACACTTGACGAATATTTACTCTGGGACTACGAATTTAGGGTTTCTATGAAACACGATCCTAACAACTAAGCGAAATAATTTAACCCAAAATCTAAGTAAACTAAATCGGAATACATATATTTACGATCTATTCGATTACATTTTAAATCGATAATATTAAATGAAAATCGATATATTTTTAAAAACAACTCCACTTTTGAATCGAAAATTCGTAGATTTGAAAAAAAAAACATCCTTTTGATACCCTTTGATCGCAAAATATAACATTGAAAAAGTTAAATATCATAATTGATGTCATGAATGGAAACACAGAAATATACCTTTGACTTTGTTATCTCTTTTATCTTACTAATATTATAAATGTGTATGTTTCGATGAAATTTGGCATACAGAAGTCTGGAAGACAAAGGCTATTTATTAAGTTCTTTTTATTTTATTTTCTAGTATATTTTTCATTGTATACTTATAAAGTTTGAAACCAAATATATATTGTTCAAATATTTAAATACGTCAGAAGCAGCATCGTTTCACAACTCTGTATAATTACTCGCCGCGAATGTACGCGTCTACAACAATCTGGTAATTTAACTCCATGGATTGTGATCCGCTTTGTATTAAACTATATTGTTCCCAAGGCTATATGACACAAAGCTTTTATTAGCATAAACGACTGCTTAAACGCTTTAGGGATGAATTAATGAAATAACTCGTATCAATTGTCGAAAGTCAAAACAAAATGGGTAAATGTGGATATATTGCTATATAGAAGCAGAATTTACGGATGTAAAAAGAACAGAGTTTAAGTACAAACTGATTCGTAAGTATATGTCAAAACAGCATCAAATGAAAATTTGTGATTTCTGCCTATCCTGTTATTGGTTGTGTACAAATTATACCTTACTAATTCTTATTCTTACTTGTTATTTTTAATATTATGAATGCGAATGTTCAGATAGATGCATGGATGTATGTTTGAAGCATTATCTCCAAAACGGCTGAACAGATCTGAATAATATTTGGCATAGATATAGATTATAGTCTGGAAGAACACATAGGCTACTTATTATGTTTTTTTTAATTCCTCGCGGACGGAGTTGCGGGCGACAGTTTTATATGTAAATAAAGTAATTACAATTTTTATTATTTACTTAAAGTATTATACAAATTATGGTCGTCAGAGAAAATTATATTAAGCATAAATTCCAAACATTAAGTTTTAAAAGGAATACTTAACCAAACAATACGGTTAAGTTATTGAAAAAGCTTATCGAAGTGGTTTTCCAAATACGACAAACACAACTTTAAATAGTAAGTCTGTAAACCTTAGAATGGAAAACAATTGACAAAGCGTACGACTTAATCCGGCGGAGTTCGGTCGAGTCCGGTTCAAACCGGATTCTATGAGTGACGTCGTAAAGAACACGCTTTAAGACTCAACTCGACAACGTCTGAAGTCTGGTACAAGTTATTGGGAATTTTTTTTTTTTAACAATGTCCTGGAAACTACAGTCTTTCTGTTCCAAACCGCATTAGATCCGAGCTATAGATTTGTTGGTATGTTGTAACAAGACCTCACATTATATACTGGGATCCTTAGAAAGTTGATGAATTTCTTGTCTCGCACAGTCGCGTTGTGGAACGGTCTGTCCTCGGCGGTATTTCCAAACCAATACGACTTAGGGACCTTCATGAAGCGAGCATACTATTTCCTTAAAGGCCGGCAACGCATCTGCAGTTCCTCTGGTTTTGCAGATGTCTATAGGTGATTAAAACATATCTTTCTCATTGCCTTTGATAAAACTGAGATAACAATATGTTCTAAACGGGAATTTTGGTCTTAGAAACCCACGGGTTATTTAGATTTAAATCGCCTCAGCGTGTAACATTGACTAAACATTTAGAGTTGCCGCCGTTTGAGTACAAGCCACAACTTCCTATTGCGTTG